GGCGTTCGCCGGCGACGGAGGTTGATGGGGGAGTTCGACGACGACTTCGACCTGATCGGAGCCGAGGGCTTGAAGCTGGAGTCGGAGGGCGCGGAGGAGACGGAGGATCAGGCTCAGCTGCGCCGGGGTCTCTTCCTCGAGGGCCGCGAGGTGCTGGGCGATAGGGGTCGGTCGCACGTGGCGTCAGTGGACCCTCGAGCTTCTCCTGGCATCGAGGGCGGCCGAGACATCGTGGGCGCCGATGGGGGTGGCGCCAGATCTACCGGCACTTCGCGCGGTGCTCCGAGGCCGCCATCAGCCGGACATGTGCGCGCGCCCAGAGTGGGCCAAGAAGGGCGGGATGAACGGGGCCTCGGCGTGCGCGCGCTGCCATCTCTGCGGGGGGAGGCGCTCGCTCAGGGCGAAGGCGGCCGAGGAGATCGCGGGCGCTCTCATCGGGGAGGGGCTGAAGGAGAGCCGCGCGGTCCAGCGGGTCGCGGCGCTGAGAGCTGCCAAGTTCGAGAAGGAGGCCAGGGCCGAGATCAAGGAGGACTTCGAGGGCGAGGTTCCCTACGCGCCTCCTCCGCCGAGGGCCTCTGGGGGTCGAGAAATTCGGGGCCAAGCCGAAGGCCGCGCCCCGGCCGAAGGTGACCGAGGGCGGCAGCTCCAGCTCGTCATCTGCTCCAAACGAGATTGCGCAGCTCATGGAGACCGTGGCCGACGCGATGAAGGATCAGAGGGGGGATATGACAAATATTGCGGAGGCCTTCCGAGACCGTTGAGCGCCGGGATCGCGCCTGCTGAGACGTCGGGGCCCCTGCGAGAAGCGCCGGCGTGGCCCGGGGGCTCGAGGAATCTCTTGATTCGTTTATGTTGGAATCGCTCTCTGGGCTCTCCGTGGGCCTCGTCTTAGGAAGCCCGCCCCGGAGCCCCGGCAGGCCGCCGGTTTGTCTTTCTGGGCCACGGAAAGTAAGGGGATTTCCTTGGAAAAGTTCGGGTGCCGACTAGGCTGGGTGCGCCGGGGAGCAAATGATCGAGATGCTCGACTGCTGTCGGTGGTTGGGGCAGTTGCGTCCAGAGCTTTCCAGTCCATCGCGGAGATTCGACCGGAACGGGCGCGACGTGCGAAGATGACCGTGGGCGGCGAGGCGGTCTTCGATGGCCTGATCTCCAAGATAGGCGCGAAGAGAATCGTTCGGGAGGCGGCCGGTCAGGTCACTGGCTCGAAGGGCGCGAAGCTGGATATTTAAAGTGCCAGGAAGAAGGGCAAGGAAACGGAGGTGGAGGAGGCTGGGAATAGCTGGGTAGCGAGGAAGGACGAGAGAAACCTCGCGGCTATTAGGTTCGACGACCCTCGCCTCCTCCAGGGCCGGCAAGGCGTTCAGGTACCAGGGAAGGTCAGACCAGAGGCCCTGGGGACTCTTACCGGGGGAGCATAAAAAGGGGGCCCGAAGGGTTCTCAGGAATACGGTCTGGGCCTCAGAAGAGCTGAGAAGGGGGCGCTATCATCGTGGAGATCTCCCCCCCCCTCTGCGCGAGTCCGGAACTAGGGGGAAGAGGGTGCCAAGTCTCCGAGGCTTTTCACAGGAAACTCGGGTGTGATCTCGATCGGCCCGAAGGGCAGCGTAGACTCTGGGACGCCTTAGAACGGGATCCGCCCTTAGTTGTGATCATGTCCCCCATTTGCTTAGCTCTTAGCCAGGCCCGGGTTCCGAACTGGGACAAGCTTAGCAGAGCAAGAGGGGCTCCGAAGAGGTCGCGGGCTTCAGATATCTAGGACTGCGCGCTAAGGTGGCCGAGTGCCAGGTGAAGCAGGGAAGGCGTTCCCTGCTGGAGCACCCCTTGGGGGCCTTTTCCTGGGATCTCGAGGTCGTCACAGTGGTGATGGAGTTGCCCGGGGTCCAGAGAGTTAGATCGGGCCTCTGCCAGTTTGGGCTCCAGGTGAAAGGTCTCTCGATGAAGCCCACTGGCTTTCTGCCCAACAGTCCTGAGCTGCTGGGTCGGCTTCGGAATCGACGCTCCCGGGGCCGCAGGCACGTGGTGCTCTCATGGGGGCCATCTTACTCGTAAGTCTGAGGTGTATCCTGAGGCCCTCATTGCTGCCATAGCCCCGGGGGTGGGGGAGACCGTCTGGGCGCGCGACCGCCAGAACCAGAACATGGGGGGTGGAGGAAGAGGACCAGGAGAGACGGGGGCAACGAGAGAAATCGAGGTCTGAAGGGCGCACAGACTTGTCCGCGGTCGCTTCCATCATGAGAGAAATGGCGCGTAAGCTCCACGTGAATCTGGGACACCCTCCTCTTCCTCACTTGATCCGGGCAGTGAGTCTGGCCACAGCTCGGCCAGACGTGGGTGCGTGGACCAAGACAGAGTGCGAGTGCGAACAGTGCCGGTCCAACGCCCGACCCATGTGGAGGAGGAGAGCTCGCCTCTCGAGCACCTATCACATGAATCGACTGGTTGCGATAGACACGTTCTTCCTTCCCTTCGTAGGAGGGTCCCTGGCCATTTTGAATTGCGTCGATCACGGCACGTAATTTCAACAGTGCGTTCTGATGCCCGCCCCCCTCCCCCGCGGCCCAGGATGCCTGGGATGCTTTCGAGAAAGCCTGGATCCAGCCGTTTGGCCTTCCACAGGCTATCCTCACGGACGGGGTCCCCGAATTCGAGGGTATGTTCGCGAGGAGCGCCGAGCGCGCCAGCGTGTATCACCACGTCGCCGGCGCCAACAGCTCTCACCAGAACGGCAAGTGCGAGAGACACGGGGGCTGGATTAAACAGATTCTTCAAACATCTGTAGAAGTCACAGGGCCGACTTCCAAACAGGAGATGTCCTGGCTCTTTGTCGAGGCTGTTTCAAATAATAACAGGTATGTAAATATGTGTGTGTATATATACATATATATATATATATATGGAGCGTTCCAACAATCAAGTTCCTTGCCTTCGAGGATCGAAGGAGTTGCATCTCTTCTTCGGTGGAAGGTGGCGGAAGGTCGGCGGAAGGCGGCGGAAGTAAAACGGGGGCGGCTCCGCCGGCGGAAGCTGGCGGAAGGCCGACGGAAGCCGGCGAAAGCAAAAGTCGACCTCATAAAAGATGACAGCCTTTTTAATTCCAGGTTTCCGAAATTGCTCATACTAATATATATATATATATGTATATATGTGCGCATACACACAAACATATACATTTGTATATATATATGTATACATATATATATATGTATACATGTATGTATATCTATGTATATGTATGTATGCATGCATGTATGTATGTATGTATGTATGTATGTATGCATGTATGTATGTATGTATGTATATGTATATGTGTATATATATATGTATGTGTGTGCGTGTGTGTGTGTTATTGTAGAGGCATCGGGCCTGTGCCGGCGACCTGGGACGCTCCATGCCGTACATGCGAGCTCGCCATTGTTACATATGTTGTGAGCTTTTTTCTTCGAGGGGGCAGGAGGAAATATGAGGAGAGTGGAGGCGAAGGAGGAGGAGGAAGAGAAGGAGAGGAGGAGGAGGATGAAAAGGAGGAGGAGGGGGAGGAGGGTGTTGGCAGTCGCCCTAGGCAGTATGTGTTGGATGGAATATTTGCCTCATGTCCGTCTGTCGAGCTTGTTGGCGGGCTAGATCCCGGACGGGTTGGCTCGTTGGAGGGCGGTTGGGCGGGTCGTAGCGTGAATCTTTCATAGTGCGCTGCGCCTTCCCGTCATTTCTACCTTCTTTTCTCTGGTGGCCCTCGGCCCATCCCGCCACCGTGCCTGGGTTGTGGGTCCGAGGCTTTTTGGAGGCTCGTTGGGATCTCGTTGGAAGCTTCTCGGGGGCCTCTCGGAGGTAGTTGTGAAGCCTTTCGAGGGCCACTTGGGGGCCTCTTGGGGGCCTCTTGGGAGCCTCTCGGGGGCCTTTCTGGAGCCCTGTGGTCTCTTGGGGGCCTCCTTGGGCTCCTGTGGTGCCTCTTGGGGCGGAAGGCTCGAATCGTCGGTTCATGTTCCCCCTCTTGAGGCCGTCTTGGGCGCCCCTTGGGCCGTTTCTGGGCCCCCTTGGGCCGTCTTGGAGCCATCTTAGGGGCCTTTTGCGGCGGTCTTGGGAGCCTCTTGGGCCGTCTTGGAGCGTCGGAAGCTCAAAAAGGCGAGAACTTCAAAATATCAAAAAGAACATTCAGGGGACATCACTGATGTGTACCTCTTGGGGACCTCTCGGGGGTCCTCCTTGGAGCGCTCTTGGGGCCTCTTGGTCCGTCTTGGGGCCATCTTAGGCGTGTAGGAGCTCTCTTGGGCCGTCTTGGCGGCCGTGGCTGCGTTGCCGCCACGCACCCTTCCAGCCTCCCGGCGAAACCGCCCCCCCCGCACCCTTCCTCCTGCGGCGCGGGCGCAGCCCTGGGAATGGAAGACCCCCCCGTTCCCCCCCTCCCCCTCTCAAGTACTATGTGCCAGATGTTCTTCGTGGTGGTGGTGGCCGCTTTCAAGGATTGAACGACCTGGCGCAGGACAAAAAACAAATGAGCCTAACGAAGGACCCAACCATATGCAGGTGTGAGTACCGCAATTGTGATTCACTTTTTCGGTGGTGATCCCTATGAGGCAACGGACCGTGCTAGGGGTGTGCCGAAATGAGTGGCGTGGTACACAACGCGAACGAAAACGAACAACACAATGCGGACTGCGCCACGGGGACCTTCGGTGGGGCTCTATATGGGGCCACGAAACGCTGTACTGGGTGAGGGAGACGCATGCGGACTGCGCCACGGGGACCTTCGGTGGAGTTCCCAAGCCCAGGGTCCCAAGAGAGCGTCTGAAGCGCTCCCAGGGTCCCAAGAGAGATCCGAGACAGCTCCAAGACACGCCCAAGACTGCCCCTGCTTCTTAGAAGGCGCGGGCCTTGGCTATACATGTGAGGCCGGCGCCTTCTAACAAGCAGCCCCCTTCCAAGACTAAGAAGCCTCACCCCTCTTCCCCCTACGCCCCTCTGCGCGCCGCCAAATACAAACACCCTCCTAACTCAGGTCCCCTCCCCAAAGGGTTAGGGATCCTTTTTTGGTTACTCACGGGATCCCAGAACTCAGACACCCTCGGTAGCAAGTCATGGGAACCTGGTATGCCCTCTTAATTCCGTCGGTTAGGTTCGGTTGGCGTCGATTAGCGTCCGGGAGTCGACTAGGCAGCGCCACTGTCGATTCCTGATGCCGCTCTTCTTCCTTGGCCCCCAGACGCCAGGCATGGCGTGCTGAAGAGCCAGCTGGCATTCGACGCCTACGAGCAGGCCTGCTGCTCCTCCAGCATCTGGCATGGCCAGGACTTGCCACACGAGAGAGATCGGCCACACTTTTGTGGGGATTTGTCCACGGCCGACGTCGCATGAGCCAAGGGGGTCTCACAGCTTGTATTAGGGCCCCGCTCAACGGCATGCGACTTAGATGATCTCGTACGGTCGGTTTGAGTCTGCCTGCTTGTCGCGCGCCGCGTGTGATGTTCCGATCGGTTTGATCTTGCACGCAGCACCGTCGGTCTTCGGGGTGGATGGAGTTGGCACGATCTTGGCACTGTCGTCACTTCGCCGCATGCGCGCGCTAGTGATGTATGCTTCGCTGCAAGGTTCACGCTTAGTTGCACTGTGCATTCGCGCTGCGTTGTGGAGGTGGACCGGGCGGACTTCGTTCCGGCTGGCATCGCGGACCCGTATTTGGATGCCGCCGTGGTGCTGGGCGCGACGGGGGCGCAGATATCGGTGCCCCAGCGCCCCGATGCTCCGATGCCCCGGATCGTTTGTTTGGAGCTTGTCCAGTTGTGACGTGTGTTTCATGGTCTGCTGATTTCTTCGCCAGCCGCCGATGCGGTTGCTGGATTGTTCGGACCTTCCGAACGTATCTTCGCAGAGGCAAGCGTGGGCGGTGGGGGGAGAGCATGGTCTTTCGGCTGCGCAGGGGACCAAGAGTCATCGATTCTTTCCGTCTCGCGTGACTAACCCCACCAGCCTGTCCAGAACGATGCCTGGGGGAGTTGTCGGGATGAGGGAAGTCGATACGCATATGGTGGGAAGTCGGTACGCATGTAGTGTGAGTTGTTGGGTGGAGGTGGAGACGGATATCTCTGGGAGCCTTGTGGAGGTCTTGAAGCCAGATTGGAGCTTTCTTGGGGCCCTCTTGGGAGCGATTGGGACACCTTCGAGGCTATCTTGGGGCCCTCTCGGAGGCCTTGGAGGTCGTGGAGGTCCTCCAGGATGTAAGCGAGGGCAGAGTTCATTCCGACCCCCCGTCAGAGCCTGACAAATCGTCTCTTGGGGGGCTCCTGGGGCTCTCTCGAGCGATCTTGGAGCCAGCTCGTCAGAAGCGAAAAGGCGACGCAGCTCGGGGGCGTCTTTGGGAGCCTTCGAGGCCACTGGGGGCTAACGTGTGGCTGTCTTGGAGCTTCTTGGAGGTATCCTGCAGGCCATCTTGAGCAATATTGATTTATGTTGTCCCATCTTGAATGCCACCTTGGGCCTTCTGGCATCGTGGAGTCTCTAATTGACTGCGGGGGGCGCCATCCAGACCCAGGGAAGTCTTCTCCTTACAAGTCGGACGAGAGCCACCATAGCCATTTTGGCTCAAGCCGTTCCTGTTTACATCCACTCTGGATCAGACCGCCGCGGTGCACGCCGCTGGAGCCCCGAGGCAGCAGGGCAGAGGACAGGCCGCGAGATGGCTGCGTCTGCGCACGCGTGCGACGGGAACGTCTCCCTGGTGCTCCCATACAGCGACCAGTGGCTGCAGCAGTGCTGGGACTTCGCGCAGCAGCATGGCCTCTCGTGGAAGCGCCACCGCCTCCAGGCCATCGACGCGGCCGGTGCCCCGGTGAGCCCCGAGAGGCAGGCCTTCCTGGACGCATCGGACTTCCCCCTGTCCGTTCAGTTCGTGCCCCGCGTGCCCGAAGTGGCCATCCACATCGACTGGAGCGCCGATGGGATACCGAGCCGCGCCCTCGGCGAAGGCAAGGACGAGGAGCCCAGCCCGCTCCTGGTGGACTGGAGCCGGGAGGGCCTGCCGCCCGCCGGCCAGCAGAAGGTGGTCTTCCTGGGCCCGAAGGGGGCCCTGAGGCGCCGGCGCGAGCCCCGGGCGCCGCTGAGGCCGAGCGCGCCGACGTGGGCCTTGCCGAAGCAGCAGGAGGCCCTCGCCGTGGCCGAGATGCTGCGCCGCGCGCCGGTGCGCAGCCCAGCGTGCCCCAAAGCCCCGGCGGTGCTCCCCAGGTGCGCGCGGATCCAGCAGCCTGGTGGCCGCGCGGCAGCGGGCCGGGCCAGCGGCGTCCGCCGCTGAGCGTTTTTTTCGCTCATTCCTTCTCCTCTTCCTCCTCTTCCTCCTCCTCCTCCTCGTGCTCCTCGTGCTCCTCTTCCTCCTCCTCGTGCTCCTCCTCTTTCTCCTTCTCCTCCTCCTCTTCCTCCTGCTCCTGCTCCTCCTCCTCCTCCTCCTCCTCTTCCTCCTCATCCTGCTCCTCCTCCTCCTTCTCCTCCTCCTCGTCGTCCTCCTCCTCCTCCTCCTCCCCTCCTCCTCCTCCTCCTCGTCCTCCTCCCTCCTCCACAATTACACAATATGAAAATACTCTCCCACTTCCCCTGATGGCGTCCGGAAGATATTCGGCACCCCCCCGCGTACTGTTTTTTTACACACAGGATTCCCCGGAGTTGGGTTTTCGCTGGTGTTTTTTTCAAAAATGCTGCTCTCGCTGAGGCGCCGGCCTCATTTCTGCTCCCGAATCGTTCCGAATCGTGCTCCCGCTGCAGCGTGGGCCTCATTTTCGGATCGGTGTTTGGCCTCCGTCGTTGAGGATGGCGTTCTCGCCCCAGCGCGGGCCTCTTTCTCGCGCGCCCATCCGCCCGCCACCACCGCGCCGCACCACCACCACCACCACCACCACCACCACCACCACCACCACCACCACCACCACCACCACCACCACCACCAACCACCACCACACCAGCACCAGCACCAGCACCAGCACAGCACCACACCAGCACCAGCACCAGCACAGCAACCAAACCCCACCACCACCACCAGCACCACACCACCACCACCACCACCACCACCACCACCACCACCACCACCACCACCACCACCCCACCACCACCACCACACGCACACACGCACGCACGCACGCACGCACGCGCACCACCACCCACTACGCACGCGCGCGCGGAGCCACAGGTCCGCTACGACACGCGTCCGCGGATAGAGAAAATCAGCGCCATGGTAAGGGATGGGAGGGAGGGGTAGGACGTCAGATATGACGCGAGCGCACCTAGCTTGTTCCCTCCCCCCTCCCCCCTCCTCCCTCCTCCTCTGCTCTCCCCTGGCGCCCTGCCTGCTGCGGAGGCGGCCGCTGGGGGCGGTCATGAATTCGGCCCGGGCGCGGCCAAACGGCCGCGGCCCGGGGGCCGCTCCGCGGGAGAGTTCTCGCTCCGACGAGAGCCCGCGAGGGGCCATCGCGCGCAGGCGGCGGAGGGTTTGCGGGCTTGCCCGCAGTGTACATACATGCCACCCCCATCTCACCGCCCACCAAGCCACCCCCACCCCAACCCGAAGGCCCCGATGTGCCTTCCATCTCCAGTGTGGGGGGCGGTCGGGGAACACCGAGAAACCACGCGTGGAGCCCGTGCCCCCCCAACCCGGAATTCGAGTTTTCGGGTCAGGTTGGGGTGGCCTGGTGGGCGGTCGCCATCGGTGGGGCGCTGCCGCTCAGCACGGCACGGGCGCGCGCCCCCCCCCCCAGAGCGCAAACTGTTTGATAAGCTCCTGGCTGTCGGCGCCTGCCGCGGTGGGGAGCAGGGGAATGCCCCTCCTCGGCTGCCAAGAGCTGTCGGCTTTCTGCCGAAGGAGGCGCAGAAATGGCATCGGCATCGAAGTTTCTTCTACGGTGGGCACCCATGCCAAGAGGCACCCTCCTTGCCTCCAGGGTGCCCTGGGTTCCTTGGATTTCGATGGTCTTCTGACGGAAAGCGTGACGTTACCACACCAAAATCGATCGACGTCCAGGACGTCGATCGATTTTGGGGTCTCATGGTTGGGTCTCTGGTGGAAGGTTTCTCGTGGTCGAGCTCGCACTGTGCGCGGCGACCCCGTGTGTGCGCGGTCGCACAGGTGCGTTTGCGTCCCGCGCGGAGCGTCTGCGAACAGGAAGGCCCCGCGTCCACGGGGCCGCCGCCCAGGGGGCTTCTGGCCCTCAGAAGGCCGTGGACACCGATGTGCTTTCCGCCCACTGCTGGCGACGGGCTGGGGCGCAGCCCTATGGTAGCCTTAAGTCGGGTCTGTCCCTCTATAGGAGGAACCGTCAACAAAAAAACGTATTTGTTTGACAATGTTTGGGCATTGTGTGGTTTTTTATTTCTTCGTCGAAGCTCGGCCTGTAGGGGGGACATGACCGACCTAAGCCCACTGCTGGCGACCGGCTGGGGCGCAGCCGCATGGTAGCCAGGCCCTCGTTGAGGGGAAGGTGCAGCGTCACTGTTGGGGATGCGGGGCCCCGACGTTGTGTGTTTTGGCATGGCGCTGGCCCCCAGAGGTTTCGACTCATTCCCTGGGACCAGTTTGTCATTCCCAGTCGTTCTTGCTGACGGTCCCAGGGCAGTGGTGTAAGGACCCCTTGGGCGAAACATAGCGAAGCACCTTCCGTCGTGATTTGTTCAAGATTTGAGGGGGTCCTGGGAGGGAGGGCCCAGGGATCTGGCGCGGTCCGCGAGAGGCGCCGCATCCTCCCCCTTGTTGGTGAGCACCCGGCAAAGCACGCACGCCTGCCCGAATGTCGGAGAGCGCCAGGCAGGATGGGATGCGGGCTCTGAGAGGCTCCGTGTGCCAGCCGCGGCTGGCAGCAGGTCGTGGGGCGGCCTGACATTTCGAGCAGCTCCTGGCCTACACAGCCCTTCGTGATTTATCGAAGGAGAAGAACAATAAGACGGAGCATACTAAGACAGACTAGTAGCTGCATGAACGTACAGTGCCGTTTTTCCTACATGCTCCGCGTGCGGATCATGCATAAAGCAATTCAGCGACCTAGTACTAAAAACAACGCTGAGTCCATGTATACATTGATTCGTAAATTAGTCATGTATTAAAACATCCGATGTTTTTGAACATCACACGTATTAACAATTGCCCTGTAAACTTCTGGAGCTCCGCGCGGATTTCTCGGACCGGCGCTTGGGGCCTCTGCGCGGCGCCTCCGGCGCCGCCCCCTGCCGCGCTCCGCGCGCCCAGGGGAGGGGGTCCAGCGCAGATCCGAGAATCCCTCGCGGACCTTCGAACGTTTCTGCTTCTGCAGTTCACTGCTCCTCTAATCCTCCGAATTCATTTTTTTTTTTTATATATATATATATATATATATATATATCAAAACACATCGTCGCACCATCAGCTCATCGTTTATGCTTCTGCAGTTCATCGGGGGTGGACAGACCTCCTACCCTGACACGTCGATTAAGGAATTGCCCGTTTTCGGTTCGCGAGGGGGCGTCGCGGCCGTCATTTTTGCGGGTCCAGGTTCGTCGGTTTTGGGGCCCAGGCCGTTTTCATTAAGGGGAGGTCTCTTAAAGGGAGGTTTGTCCACCGCCGAGTTCATTGCTCTTCTAATCCTCCGAACAGTATATGTTTATCCAAACACGTCGTCGCACCATCGAATCACGTCGAATCTGAAGTTCCCATCAGTACAGTTGGAGCTGAGCAGCTTTAACCAGTACACCGTCTGGTTCGAACAACCGGGGACAAGTTCTCGTCCAACTGTTCTCAAACTTCAAAGGGTAAGATCAGTGGTGATTCGGGTAAGGGTAAGGGAAACGTGGCAAGACTTTACACAGAGAATTATGCCCCCCATGTGAGGATCACGCGTGGGCCAAAATTTGAACACGGCCCCTAGGCAGCCCGAGACACGCGCTCCAATCAGCCGCTTCTCGCGCCGCTGTCGGGCCCAAATCGCTCCAGCAGCGCACCACGGTGGCGCAAAGACGGATCCGAAGAAGCTTAAGACGGTTCCAAGACGGCGGGCGCGTGACTCCCCAAGAACATTTGAGGATTGCTTGGAAAACCTCAGAACCTATCCAATCGCCTCCGTCACGTCACAGGAGCCCCAGACTTGCCAAACCTCATGTCCAAGAAAGCCGCCGCGAAGCTATACAGATACAGAATAATCAGTCGAAACATTTGCAACAACTATTGTTGTGGCCACAGACTAGTGCTTCCCTGCATCTTAGACAAGATGCGAAGTTCTGGTGGCCCGCTTCAGCGCAGCTCTGCGAACCATGTCCTGCTCCCTCCTTGCCCAGTGCACTCGCGCAACACTCATTGGATCATGCCACGTGCAACCGAACTCGAACCAGTCTTGCTGACCTCGTGACCGCTCGAACAGCCACATTGTGCATACTGTGTATACACGCGTGTATATACGTGTATGTGTACATACGTATACACTAGAAACCACGCGCGCGCTTCGCGCGCGCTGGAGTTCTTGTCCAGTGGGCTTGCAGCGGACGGGTCATGTAGAAACATCTGGGTGGCCAAATCTCTAAGCCCGCACAGCAACACTTCACGAGCCTCGACGGCAACCACGCAGGACACTTCATGGCTGCCTTCGGCGATTTTCGCACTCTCGCCTATTCGTCTTCCGGTGCGCCCCCAAAGCCTCCTCGCAGCTCCGAGATGGCCCAAGAGGGCCCCCAGGGTCTCCCCAAAGGAGTCCAAAGAGGAAAGCTTCAGAGGCTGGGTCCCACGAGAGTCCCACGAGGGCCCCAAGAGGAGATTGGTCGCGCTGCAACGAGGCGAATGAAGGGCCGCCCTCTTTGTGGACGCCAGCCTCATTGATGATCCCAGCAGGGGATCTGAGAGAGCCCAAAGAGTGCTCCAAGAGGCCCAAAGAGGCTCCACAACTGATCGTTTTGCTTTAAAGAAGCGGTGGCATAAGACGAGGCGAAGCCAAGCTGAGCCTAGCTCATTGGTGCGAGAATGCGGCAGACAAGCTGAGCACGCAAACCTCGAAGGAGCTAAAGCGAGCTCAGATCAGCTGACAGCCCCCCTCAGTTCAGCTCGGCCGAATTCAAGCTCTCTCGGGTAAAAGGCTGGTGAGAAGCCAAGCTGCACTATGCTGCAATCAGCGTGCCTAGCGCTATCAAGGCGACCAGCGCCAAACGAGCTCAGATCGGGTGAACCACCGTCCGAGCAGCTGAACCCTTCCAAGCCCCATGGGTCAGGGACACGTGGCACGGCCGCAATCAGGGTCTCGCGAAGCTTCCCGCAGCTTGAACAGGTAACCACAAGTTGAGAACAGAAGAACAGCTGAGTGGGCCCTAAGGGCTCCCCAGGGGGACCCGCGCGCGCACAAACTTGCGGCCCACGAACAACAATAATTTCTTGATGGCCAGGAAATGACTCGCGACAGGCCCCGGAAGCCCAAAGCAGTTGGAACAGAACTTTCAGCTCCAGCCGGCAAGTTCGAACAAAAAAGTGGGGAGGATGGTCGTCACGGCCGTGGGCAGCTCGGGAAATTGGTGCGCGTTGGGACCCCGGGAGGGGTCTGGGGCTCGAGTGTTTGAGCTGCCGTTGTCTCGGCCCGCCCTGCTCCGAGGGGAGGAGCAGGAGGAGGAGGAGGAGGAGGAGGAGGAGGAGGAGGGAGGAG